CATCTCCGACTGTTGAGCCAGCTCGTCTCGCACCTCCCAAAGGACAGCCACCCCAATTACCTTTCCCAAATCATCTTTGAGAATTGGCAAACACTGTTTCCTGGACTGACGTCTTGCCCGCCTATATTCTATGTCGACATGTGGCCGGTGGGTCCGTCCGCTATGTTCGCCAATGATCCAGATGTCGCGGCTCAGATGGTAGCCGAGCCGAGCATCCCGCGCAGCGACTACGTTAAATCAATTATCAAACCACTTACTGATGGTCTGGACCTAGTCAGCTCAGAAGGCGAAGCATGGAAGACGTGGCGATCGCGATTCAACCCAAGTTTCAGCAACAAGAACGTACTTAGTCTCGTTCCCGGCATGATCAAGGATGTTCAAGTGTTCACAGATCTCTTGCGCAAGCGAGCTGGCGTCGGTGGAGGTTGGGGCGACGTTTTCCCTCTTGAAGACCTCACGACGAACTTGACCATCGATGTCATTGGCCGAGCAGTCCTTGATATCGAGCTAAATGAGCAGACTACCGGGCCCAGCAGGTTCAAGAAACACTTTGCGGATCAGATCACGCGTTTCATTACGAGTCGAAACATCGTGACTACATGGAAATCGTACAGCCCTTGGCGGTTGGCAGCCATTGCCCACAACGCACATGTCATGCGCAGCGAACTGTTGCCTTCCATCGAACGGTGTTTGAGTGAGGAAAAAACCAAGAAGAGCTCTGGCAAAACCATTATAGACCTGGCACTGAAACCGATAAAGAGCGCAGCTCATGAAGAGAAGGCGCCTGTAACGGATCAATTATTCGTTGACACTGTCATCTCCCAACTGAAGCTATTCATGTTTGCCGGCTACGACACCACGGCGACGACTCTTTGCTGGGTGATGCACTGCATAGCCAAGAACCCAGAGGTTGCGCGTAAGCTGCGCGATGAACACAACAAGATCCTTGGTGAAGACCCTGCGATGGCGGCTGAAAACCTTCAACAGTCACCGCACCTGATCAACTCTCTCCTTTACACAGGCGGCATAATCAGAGAGGCTCTACGTCTAAACCCCGGCCCAGCGTCTCTAAGAGACGGTAAGCCGCACTATACTATAATCGACAAGGAAACTGGGGATCGCTATCCAACCGATGGATTCATTGTCTGGGACGGCACGCGCTCAAGGTCTCTCTCCGAGGAGCTGTGGCCCCGCGCTAAAGAGGTTGTGCCTGAAAGATGGGTGACGACGGATGAAAACGATCCTTTACGTCCAAAAAAGCATTCATGGCGTATGTTTGGTGTTGGTCCCCGCAACTGCATCGGACAGGAGCTCGCAGTGATGGAAATGAAAATGGTGTTGGTGTTCATGGCGAGAGAGATTGACATCGACTGTGCCTGGGACAAGTGGAATGCAAAGAAGTGAGTCATCATCATCACCATCCTAACCACAGTTGGTTGTATCTTGCTAATCTTCTGTTTTATCGTACAGCAACCATTCAGCACCAACGCCTGTTGTTGGAGAGGACGGTTGCTTTCAAGTCGGCCAGGGGACTCCACACCTCAAAGAGGGTATGCCGGTTCATGTTAGGCTTCGGCAAAGAGCCTGAAACATCGTCATTAAAGTTGTGAAAGGTTTCTTAGGGACGAAGCGCGCGGAAACTGCAAAAGAAACAACTCAGAATTTGGTCTCGATAGCAGCTGGGGCTGGATCTTATTTGCCGTTCCAGTAGTTCATTTCCCAAAGGATGTTGTGTCTCAATCAAACCCTGCATGTGCTCCGGGTCTGAAGGTGTGGCATTGGGAGTTCGTTTCAAGGGTGCAGGTCTTACTTGAAGAACTCGTTTGGCACGGTGCAGGCGAGGGGAAGCGCGGCATCAACATCATCAATGGCATCAAATACAAGTCAAACTTCAACAGATCACCTTGAGTCGGCGTTCTGCCGCATCGGCATCTCCCCCTTCGTCTTCAGAGTCAGCCCGGAAACACTCTCAGTTATGAATCTATCCTGTGCCGTACCGATATAACCATTCTGCAGCCTATTGGAGGCCGGGAAAGCACTGGAATGGTGGATATTACGGACCATCCACTTCGTGCGATTGGCGGAGGGGTACGGACTTGGGGATAATAAGGCCGTTCTAGAGCTTGACGCAGTTGATATGGAACAGCGAGAGAATATAAAGCCCTAGCCTCAGATTATTAAGACGACACGGTCAATCGCATGTGGCATGAATTCACTTTTCAACCAGGGATCCGTCACTCGATGTGATTTCGAACCGCAATTTATCATCACGATCCGCGCAAGAAGAACTAAGGGAGACGCGATTGGAGTATATTAGAAAGGAGAGTGCTGAGGTCCTTGCTCTTTGCACAAATATAGAAGGGGTTCCGGCCCGCGAATGAGTCCCAATCATCGCCATAGGTTGTAGTTCTACGTTACCCCTCACCGTGATGCCGTCACCAGACCTATTTAAAAAACCGGAATTTCAACTTCGCGGGACCGAGCTGCTTCTTCAATATCATATGTGTCTGATCCTTCCTTCCATGCCTCGTCGAGAACCTCGACAATCGAGTTGATGAGGCGGGGAGGGTCGGCTTTTGTAAACAATGTCCGTACATCGTCAAAAACCTGCTTCCACTCTGGGTGTGAAGCCAAAAGTGGGACTTCCAAGCTTCCTATCACTAATGGGTACATGAGCCCGTTGTGAACCAGCAGATGTTTGTTTTCGGGCAGTTCAATGGCTCGGTGTAAAGCATAAACCGATGCCACTAGGCGACATAGAATGACCTCTCGTGAGGGGAAGGGTGTCGTCTTTCCGGCTTCAACCACGTGTTGAATTGCTTCGACAGACGACCTCATCTTGGTTTCCTTTCGCTCAATTCTTCTCACATGTAAGACAGCTGTGTACCTCCAACAGTCCCAGAGTATGCATTGGGCATATAGCCCAACGTCTCCCGGCCAAGCCCACAAACGAGCCTCTAATTCTTGCGCGCCGCTGTGCCTAATGTCGGCGAGAACATCAAGGAGAGTCCGCGGCATCCCTGTGAGAACTTCGATGCCACCCATCCTGCCTCCTTGCCAACTGTCTTGTACTTTGCGGAGGTGACGCCAAATGCCCATGCTCGGAGTCCTTCTCCCAATTACCATGGGCTCCATGTCCATTATCGATAAGACTTCAAGGGTGTGTTGGACTGTGGGGTCGTGATCAGGCCCAGGTAAAAGGCGGCCCATGTCCGTTTCTAAATGATAGAGGTCGGCCATGAGCTGAAGATATATTGTCCATGGTCGAGCTTGGAGTAACTAAATTAATGCAGTTAGCGAACGGGAAGCGAAGTATGTTTCCGCTTTGGCACGGATTGGCAAAGACAGCAGCAGCGCAGTGCAGAAGCTTACGCATTGGGTACAAATAAGAAGGCCGGCCGATACGGTAGATGCATCATAAGACTCATGTCGGCTTTCTAACTCGGATCGAAACGTTTGAAGGGCATGATCAACAAGCTCCATCGATGACACCGACAACCCGTCCTCGAGATATGCTTGGATGGCTCCACAGACGTTGAAGAAGGCCGGGCTTCTCTCAGCCATTGCCACAAAGTGGCCTTTGAGCCAGCCCTGACTTTCAGTGTTGTAAAGCATATTCATTCCTGTGTGGATGACTTTGGACATGGGTCAGTCGACGGTGACGATAATGATGGCGCTGATGACGACGTGGACAACGCCCGGGAGCCATTACTCAAGAGAAACACGCAGCAGGGATGATATAGCTTGTGGCAGCTTGTGACAACTTACATCTTCGGAACAGCTGCTGTTTTGGGTCGATTACGTCGCCGGTCGGAGAGGATGTCAAGGAAGAGATGCTTAGCTGCAACTCTTGAGTACCTGGTTGCGAAGCGGAGCGGATCTGTGCAGGTCCAAGACCTTGCGTCCCAAGGGGTGCAGGCGATGATGAGATGGAGCTAACGCGGGGTTGTGGATCATCGATGGTCGGCGGATGGGATGAGGACGTTGCCGGGGTTGGATCTGGATCGCTGGCGGCGCGGTCGGGGACCGCTGCCCGAGCAAACCGGCCTCTCGAGGCTATTCCGTTGGTCCATTTAAGCGTGGTGTTGTAACCTTCACACTGGATCCCTCGTGTCTGGCATGCCCGGCATTCTGGTCGCGTTTCGTCGCATTTCCGCTTCCGTCGCTTGCAGTTCGGACATCCGCCCCTCGAGCGAACCATGGGTTAGGTGGTTCCCGACTCTTGCGCGCGTTTACCTAGTTCTGCGCGCCTAGTCGTTGGCCAAGTCCGTTGAAGGTGGTGCGATAATTTTATTCTGTGGATGGTGAATTTGAGCCCCTCCCAAACAAAGGCCCAACAAGCGCGGCCGTCGCATATATATGCCGCTTAGGGCATGGCACGGATACAGCCTCGGGGTCCTAGTTGTAGCAAGCTGATGTTCCAGGACAGGGGCATCAAACGTCAGCAGTAATAAAGTTTTAACCCACGTATGCTGCCCGTACTCACTTGTCCAATCCCCAGCAAGTGACCGGAAGGGGTGGGGTGTCTTATTACTGCTGGTTGACTAGGGTCGTTCAACCGTATGTGTGGGTGTCCCTGTGTCCAGTCGATGTCGCAATACCAAACAATAGTCACGATTCGTGGCTGGGCAGCCTATGCTAAGGCGTGCAGTATATTCAATTGCCATCACTCAACACGTTGATGGCACATAGGTTAGGTTTGACGAGATTCATATCTTTGAAGTTGTATCCATCGAGACAGGTGACTACGGTGACCGATGACTATATGTATTAGACCAAGTCACTCAGCATGTCCACAAGGGATTGACTCGGGTACATAAGAATTAGCGCAAATATGATCGTCAATGTTATCCTCTGGGAACAGGAGTTTTCTGGTAGTTGCGCCGGCATGGGAGGCCTTTGTAGAGACACAGTTTGCGTTCCAACGCCAAGTATCTGATTAAATGACTGACTTTCCCCCACGATCATGCCTGGAGATGCTTGATACTTTGGCCACATGAATTACCGGGCCGAGCCCACCACTGAAGACAACAAAGTTTTGACATTTTCGGGTCTGCTCATAGTGGCCACTTCAACGACAGCACTCAGCCATAATGCCTCTTCCCTGCCACCGGGAATCGCTCTCTTGAGCAATTGTGAGACTGCTGAGCTTGTTATCCGATTTGTGGACTCCATGTCAACAAGTTATCCCAAACATAGATGAGCAGGCCACGGAATCGACCTCCTTCGTTGTTTCGCCTACTCCATCCTCGACCCAAGCGATCCTTTGGTATGTCGATGCTGTCAGAGCCAACCTATTTGATGTTATGTTTTGTGCGCACTGACATTTTGTCATACTAAAAACGACGCCGTTAGTCGCAGAGCAGCAACTAACGCCTTATATAGGACCTATAGGTCACAACACATTTCAATATCGCAGAACTGGGCCAAATGGAGAAAGCGTCTGAACTGCGGTTTGACTATGGCTGTAACAGTAGCCGCTTTCACGAAGTAAATGGCCCGCTTCCACTATATCATATGTCTCGTAGTCAAAATAATAGCTTCGGTTTGCACTAGCATCTTCATTCAAATCGTCTTTTGGCAGCAAATGACGGTTGATCTTGATCTTTCATTCCTTCGGCTCAGCGAGGCGCAGTCAGCCCAACTGGCGGGTCTAGCGACTGGAAGTATCTTCTTCATACCGCTTACCGTCAAGTACGGTCGGCGGTCTACGTATCTGGTTTCCGCTACCGTATTAGCAGTCGTAGCATGGTGGACAGCTTCCATGCACACATGTACCGAGTTGATCATCACAAACATCATCACTGGGCCGGCCGGCGCGATTAACGAGACTGCTAGTCTGCTGTGCAGATGACTGTAAATCCGCAACTTTCTTTATTCACCCCCTGACGTTATCAAGCTTGGCTAACGCTTTGTTTCAAACAAGATTGCCGACCTGTTTTTCCTTCCTTCACCAGCGAGGATCCGCTAATGGCCTTTTATTTCACTGCTGTTATGACAGGCAGCTTGCTCACCCCCTTGGCCGCAGGCACACAAGCCGCCACCCAGGGATGGCGCGGGTCATATTACTATCTTTCTATTGCGCTGACAATACTTTCTTTCCTGTTTGCTTTTCTGTACAAGGAGACCAAATACACCCCGGCCGTCATCAGCCAGCACCAAACGACCAACTTCACCTCGCCAGATCACAAAAAGGATATATTGAAGGTTAAGAGTGCAACAGAGAGCACTCTCAAGCTGAATTATCCGCAAGTTCACGCCGCATCCCGCGTGAGTATGAACACATATCGTAAGAGAATGCGCCTTCTGTCTACTACACCAGAATCTCTGACACAACTCTTTATCCTGCCGCTCCACGTTATTACACTCCCGCACGTCATGTTTACTGCTCCTACTTTGACACTCAGGCAATTGGTCTTATGACTCTGGGTCCCTTTGTAGGTAATATTTTGGGCAGTCTATATGGCGGTCCATTCGCTGACTGGGCTGTCATGCGTCTTTCCAAGAGGAGCGGATGAATATATGAGCCAGAAATGAGATTATATCTCTTTTTTCTACCCGTAATTAGCATGGCAGGTGGGATAACAACGTTTGGAATTACATCAAACCGAGTAAGTCGTTTAAAACACCCTTTCTGAGGCGATGCTCCTTTGGACCCGGAGGCTGCTAACAAATCAGGGCATGCACTGGATCTTCCCAAGCATCGGCGGCGCGCTTTTTGCCTTTGGTCTTGGTGCGAACGGTGATATTACCTTCACCCTCGTTATCGACACATACAAAGAGGTTATTCAGCCTGATTCCTTTTACGCGGCAGACGCTAACATTCATATTCGCAGCTTACTGCAGAGGCATTCTTTGGTGTTGCGTTCATTCGTAATGCAGTCAGCGCAGGTGTCCCCTCGGCCCTTGTTCCCTGGATGTCGAGCATGGGCCTCAGCAACATACATATACTGAGCGGAGTGGTGTCACTTCTCATCGGGCTTCTATATGCTCCCTTGAATATCTGGCGTAAGCGTCAATTCTTGGCACTTGTAAAGGAAGGATGCATTGCCTCAGAAGAGTTGTGCAAGATAAACACAGTGTGATGAACAGTCACTGTGTTGAAAGCCAGATGGCATACGCTAATGATTCAATACTTGTTTCTTACATGCCGGCAATGAGAGGTCAACATCATGATCTTGCCGTGATCAGATACGAGAAGCTGGTAGGAGTGGGTATGGCTATGATGCCTGGTCCCTCCCGGCCATATCGGCAAAGCGTGGGATTCTGATCGGTTGTCGACAATTACTGAGACTTACTCGGCGGCACTGCGACCCACCGGCGGTGTTTTAACTCGCAAACGGCCGGCCGGCGGGTAGTCCTTCCTGTATAGGATGTCACACCCGCCGCTACTTTACTCCTCACAATGCTCCAGCGTGTCATAGCATGGTGCGATGCTTGAGGTGTTCTGGCCCATAATAGATAAGCTGTCGCTTCTTTCGGGTGTATCTCTTCTTGTACATCTAAGGAATCATCGGAAACTTCCATCCCAACATAATCTTTCGAGGATCGTTATCTATTACTTGAGAAACATCGGACGACGCATCACTTTCTTTAGGTCCTGTGCACTCTTACAGCCTACTTCCCATTTTCCATGATGCCTGCTGCTACTGGATGGGAGGTTATTGCCTCTCGTCATCGAAATGAGCAACAGCAGGCCATTCCGCAAGGTTGGGCTATTCCACATTCGAAGCTGAAGGAGTTAAACGGCACCGGAACAGCCAATGAAGGACGACTAGTTTTCCTGGAAGCAGCAAAGAAGTCTGCCCTTCTTACTGAGAAGGAGCTCAAGATCACGCAGAATTACAATGCAAGGAAATTACTCGAAAAAATCCATAAAGGAGAACTCTCGTCAGAGGAAGTGACATTGGCGTTTTGCAAGCGTGCTGCCATTGCTCAGCAACTTGTGAGTAGCATTGGAAGCAGTTCAAGGCTCTCCTAAACAGAATCTAACTCCGTCTACAGACTTCCTGCTTGACCGAGATACTTTTCGATGAGGGCATAGCGAGGGCTCGGGAACTTGACCAACATCTGAAAGCTACTGGCAAGCCGATCGGTCCGCTGCATGGTCTACCTATTAGTCTCAAGGTAAAAGGACCTCTCTCGGAAAGCCCACACATGTGCTTCGAAACAGCTTACACATGATAGGACTCATTCGTGGTAAAAGGTCGTTACGCGACAGTTGGTTATGTTGAATTTCTTAAGCGACCGCCGCCTACAACCAACTCAGCCATGGTGGATCTCTTGCTAGATGCTGGAGCAGTCCTGTTCTGCAAAACCAACATTCCTCAAACAATGATGGTACGTAACTGCTATGTTGCTTTAGGTACTAGCCGCGACAGCCAGAGGAACATTCTGACCCCCTCGCGTTAGACGGCCGATTCGGAAAACAACATCTTCGGGAGAACCCTCAACCCGCGCAAGACTTCCTTGACTGCTGGCGGTTCGACGGGAGGAGAGGGTGCCCTCGTGGCATTCCGAGGCTCGGTGTTAGGCGTGGGCACTGACATTGCAGGCTCTGTCAGAATCCCATCTCTCTGCTGCGGAGTATACGGTTTCAAACCCACGGCTGACCGGATCCCATTCGCTGGCAAGGTATATCATCCATTTCCCAAGCTTATGCTCCCTGGAATATCACCAGCTATCGGTCCAATTGCAAACTCGGTCGACGACCTCATCTTGCTGATGGAAACGACCATTGCACAACGCCCTTGGGAGTATGACGCATCTGCGATTGATACACCGTGGAGAAGTCTGGATGATGCCAACAAGGCCCTCACCATTGGCGTCCTTCCCGAAGATCCCAATTATCCATTACATCCTCCTGTTCGCCGCGCCCTTGACGAAGCAGTCTCTTCACTCGAAGCTGCAGGACACAATATTGTTCGCCTTCCATTAGACCCTTCTTGCGGTCCCAGTTTGGGGGTCAAGCTAGCATTTACCTATTACGGCCTGGGTTCATCCAGTCTAGATGCCTTGGAGAGCGAGATTGGAGAGCCACTCATCACTTCAGTTAGGGCAAGCGTGCACCCATTTGGAAACGAGGGACCTCTCGTCTCGCCAGAATTGGACACAGCACATCAGCTGGGTGAATTCCTCAACCTTCGCGCTGCCTACGCCGACAGCTGGCGAAAGACTTGGCGGAAGTATAAGCTCGATGTTGTTCTCGGGCCTGGAGCAATAAGCACCGCCGTGCCCCACGATACTTACGGCGTTCCTGTGTACACCGCGATGTGGAATGTGTTAGACGTAAGAAGATACCATATATATACAATGGCATGGGCCCTTCTCGCTAACTGCTCATAGTATCCTGCTGGTATCATACCGCATGGCTTTGCTTCGTATGACAAGGATCCTCAATATCAGAAGGCAACTTCGCAATTTGATGCAGACTGTGAGTGGCCAGCAAGCTTTTGAAAAGTAGTCGCACCGTTCAATTGACTCTTTCTCTTTTCTCTAGATGACCCCAAGGCGTGTGACGGTGCCCCATGCGCCATCCAAGTAACGGCCCCTCGATTCCGGGACGAGGAGTGTTTGCAAGCGATGCGGATTATCGACAGAGACATTCGGCGATAGAGCAAAACTTGGGCTAAAAATACATTGCTGTTTTTCTATTTACCTCTTTTCTGCAAGCATTCATTCGTAGAGTAACAATTTATACCATTCAACTACTCCTATCTTGTACTTTGCGGATGATAGGCTTCAGTAGCTCTGGTAGGACGACTGCGGCATCTCCGACAAACACCCAGTCCTGTTCTGGCCGTATATTTTTGGCATCGTCAGCGCACGTATTTATGACAGCGATCCTTGCCCCCTTCTTCCGGGCCATATCAGCATACCCGGCGGCTGGCCAAACCTTGCTGGAAGTACCTATGGTGAGACAAAGGTCTATGGGCTCGGGGTTTTCGAAGAGCGCTTCAGTCTCTCTTACAATGTCGATGGGCAGAGGCTCGCCAAACCAAACGACCCCCGGTCGGAGAGCATTATTCTTACATTTAGGACACTGTGGCAAATCCTCTTTCGAGAGCCCCGAAGACAACCGGGTCAGAGCAGGCGTGTTATTCGCTGGTTGTCCGGGAGGCTTGAGGGCGGTCATGTCCTGTGTCGTTGGGATGCTGCTTTGATACTTGTCGCCAAGGATCTGCGCGTTCTTCCGAGCGATGCCAGCTAAGAGGATAGGGCTAGCCTTGGGCTTGTTCTTGGGTTCTGTGCTGCCGATGGTTTGTTGCTCGTCCTTGGAGGGGTCAAGAGCGGGTGCCAAAGACGCCTCGAAATTGTCACGCTCGATGTACCCGCACCCGGCTTCGTCGAAGCATGACAAAGTAAACAGATTGCCGTGAAGCTCCTTCAACTGGCCGGGCGGGTGGCCGGCAAGCCGGCTGAGGTTGTCCACGTTTTGCGTCAAAGCGATGAAGCCGGGCATTTGACGAGCGAGCTCAGCTAGGGCGTAGTGAGCCGGGTTTGGCTTCGCGCGGAGCGCCTCCTGCCGACGATACGTGTAGAACTGCCAGACAAGGCCAGGGTCATGACGGAACCCCGCGAGCGACGCGACCTGGGTCACGTCCTGGTTCTTCCATAGTCCACTGACCCCTCTGAAGGTTGAGAGCCCTGAAGATACCGAGAGTCCTGCGCCTATGACGGCAATCATACGTTTTGATCGTTTGAGGGCGTCATGAAAGTCGGCGACAGCCACGGGGTCCAGATCCGGTAATTTGATTGTTGAGTCAGCCATCTTAGCTTGTTCGAATATCACGCATAATTTTCATCCGCCCAAGATCTTTCTTTCAAGTGTTGTTAAGAAAAAAGCAGAAAAAAACAAAAGAAAAAAAAATGGCGGCCAGAGTTTATTGTCAGTTGCCTAGAAGAATATCGACAAGGCAGCCATCTTTGCCTGATGTCTGATGTAAGACTCATATCCGGCCAACTTACTCTGGGCCAACGCAATCAAGCGGGCCAATCAACCGGTCCTGATAACAGGTTGCTACTATCTTTAATACAATTCTTACTCTTGCGGGGGAGATTCTATATTTATAGTGTAGACCAGTAGTTTGTATGGCTCACGCCTACGATCAGGTTCTGCGTGAGGATTGCAACTCTAAAAGAGTAGAACTGCAGGACTCAAGCCCATATTGGAACAACCCTTGTAGACTCACTATCTTTGGAACCGGAATTTCTCCACCATTAACTTTCAATTACCCTTGTTCATTGCGCCGGAAATTCCTGTAGCACCATAATATGGTTGTTGCTCTGTCTGTTCTATATGCTGTATCTGAACTGCTTATCCTTTTTGTCTGTGAGGTCACTATCAGGTGCACCACCAGCATCCAGAATGACCTCCCCTTGGTTCTCTTGGGCGAGTTGTTGCTCGTTAGAAAGAGCGGCATCTCTTCTTGAGTTGTCTCTTGCGCAAATGTACCGATAGGCCACAATCTCGGCAAAGAGCAGGCACCAAGTGACGATAGCTGTGACCACGCCGTTGAAGTATCGCGGTTTCTTGGTCCAAAGCTGCGGGGCACCGATGCAACCGGCGCAGTAACCAACGAAGAACATGGCATTGACCATAGCGCGCTTGGTGTTGCCTTTAACATTGGAAGCAGTAAGGGAGAGAAGAATGGACCAAACCGCAGTGATGCATGATGACTGAAACCTTGTCAGCGATGGAGGCATCTATCGGAGTAGAAACACTTACTATCCAAGAGGCAGCTATCATACCCCATCCCGAGTTAGTAGAAAGCTTCATTAGAAGAACGTTACCCACAAGCGGTGGGATAATGAGAACCAAGGCAACAAGGGTTCGGTTCTTGGGGAAAACCATACAGCCGCAGACGCCGATCCATAACATGCCGATTTGAACAGCGCCTTCCACGTGGCTAAATTAGTTAAAGTATGTGGACGTAGTTTAAAGTCATTACTTACCTGATGGAGCAGTGTATAACATAGTTTCATATTTGTTGTACCCAATATTGTTGATCACAAGTGATGCGAACTGAAGATGGTCAGAAAAAGTCTCAACGCCACGGGGCTGAAATACTCACCGTCAAAACAGGAGACTGCATTGTCACCAAAACGCCAAACCAAAACACGAACCAGGTCTTGATATCCAGTGCCGCTTCCTTGAGTTGCACCATAGAGAAAGAGGTCTTATCGCCTCCTTCACGGTCTTTGGCCATACGCAAGGCAAGAATCTGTTTTTGTCGGGCCGTTAAGAACCAAGCATCCCTAGGGCCGTTGGGCATGAAGAGATAAAACGCCACGCCAGCCGCGGAGGTGATAGCACCGCAGACAAGGAAGAGAGTTCTCCATGGGGCAAGGGAGAGCGACGTGTTTTTGGCGATGCCGTACATGAGGAGTGAACCGCAGATCTGGGCGACCCCGTTCATCGTGATCCATAGCCTACTACTGTGTCAGTCTCCGCTGAATTACCACAGCAAACGATTTCAAAGCCATGTGCTTACGCTGTTCGAAGAGCATGTTCGTTGCTTCGGTACCAAATACTGGTGATGGTGATGAAAGCAGGGGACACAGCCCCCTCGGCAAATCCGAGAAGGAACCGCACAGCAGCAAAGCCAGCGTAGTTTTTCGGCGCGGCGAGGCACATGCAAATCATTCCCCAGATCACACTGAAGTCAAAAGCGAAATCGACATGTCAGCAAGACACACTAGGACTTGGTGGTCTGCAAAGAGACAGTGGCTTACATTGTGATCCCGACAAATTTCGTCAGGTGGAGCCTGCTCATAAGGTAGATAAATGGGTACTCAGACACCAGTTGACCTAATATGGTAAGCTTTGTCAACGAGGTCGTCCTGGTATGAAATTGAGTTCCTTACCGACATAGAAGATGGATGAACACCAGGAGTACTGAGTGCTGGTCAATTTGAGGTCCGTTATCAAACCGAACACCTATGATAATCGTGAGAACGTGGAGCTCGCTCGCTCGAGAAGCAGAGAAACAAACATACGCTTGCGTAGCTCAGACCCTGCTTGTCTAAGTATTGTAGAAAGAAAACGAAGCACATCTTTCGGGGATGTTAGCTTAACTGAGGAAAAAGGATTGCTAATAGTAATGGCTGTTCATACCATGGGCATAATCGCAAAGTCGATTTTACGCAGGACTTTTTCCTCTTCCTCGAGGGTATACCCGTCCCCTAGGTCAACAATTTGTCCATTATTCTCTTCCACGCCTTCCTGTGGGTTGTCGTCGGCCCGCTCTTTGGTCATTTCGTCGATGGCGCTGGAAGAAGCCATTCTGCTATTGGTTTCCAAGCTCTCGATGAACAGTGTCTTCCCTGTTTCCCATCAAAGGGAACCACCGTTCCAACGCCGAGCAAGAGCAGGAGAGCCGGCTTTAAGTCGCAACGAGCTGGCCCGGTCCACATGCCACACGCCATGTCCATTTATCAACCCGGGGTTGCATCCCTGTTCCCTCACCAAGGATGCATATCAGGATGTTTTCCCACAATCTGCGATAGGCCATGACGGCGGATGATAGCAGCGATACAGATGCGGGGAGCATGCCACATTCCCGACTGCGCCCGCACTGCTGGAACAGATACCCGGTGCCGGTATCGGCAATACGGCTTCGCTAGGACGGTTTTCCTCTGATAGGGATACATGCATCCGACACAGTCTTCTCCGTTGACCAAAGTCATCAATAACTCTTAGGATAACACTCTCCTTGGAGACAAGGCCAATCGAACAAATAACTAGCTTCATAAAGGCTCGTATCGTCTAAGCTACTAAGTTGATGCACATCATTGGCGTCAACTGTATTTCCAACCCATTGCCTCCCCTCGGTTGTTTTTTACCCCATGTTTCAGGACGGTTCAATTTAATCAATTCAAGCCCAAAATGGTGACCGAAGCAGACCTCAAGCCCTGGCTGCGAGCTCCGGTCCGGCAGTACATCCTTACCAACGCCACCATTGTGGACGTGACAGACGGCTCTCTCCGTTCCAACGCGGCAATCCAACTCAAAGACGGCCTCATCAACGCGATTCTCGACTCTACAGATTCCGTCATCAACACCGCTCGAGAACAAGGCTTCGAGGAAATCGACTGCACCGGCAAGTTCATCTGTCCGGGGCTAATTGACGCCCATGTCCACCTAGTAGCCGTCCCGGGCTTCGGTGACCTCTCCAAGGCTTTCGGAAACTCAAACGATGTCTCACTTCTCCGCCAGCCGTACGTTTGCGCGCAAATGCTGCACAGAGGCTTCACAAGCGTACGAGACTGTGGGGGCGCGCAACAGGCTCTGAAAGAGGCCATCAACGACGGCGTCTTTTCCGGTCCGAGACTTTTCATTGCCGGACATGCGCTGTCGCAAGCCGGGGGCCACGGAGACATTCGCGGCGTGCACGACCATAGCGAATGTTGCGGCGGCTCCACGAATGGTCTCGGGAGACTTTGTAATGGCGTCCCGGAGTGCATGACCGCTGTTCGCGAGGAGATCCGCGGCGGAGCGGACTTTATCAAGATTATGGGTTCCGGTGGCGTTTCCACACCCACTGATAGGATCGACCACCTTCAGTTCACCAATGCCGAGATTCAGGCAATGGTTGAATGCGCCGAGAATGCTGGTACGTATGTTACGGCACATGCCTACACGGCGAGAGCTATCAGGCATTGCATCGACAACGGAGTGCGGGGTATCGAGCATGGAAACTTTGTCGACGCTCCCACGGCGAGGATCATGGCGGAGAAAGGGGTATATCTGACACCGACACTCATCACATACGCCCAGATGGCATCGCCAAAATGGAAAGGCTACCTGCCGCCGGAATCGATGTCGAAGAACGAGGAAGTTCTCCACGCGGGGCTCGTCGCTCTCAAAACGGCATACAACGCAGGCGTTACCATTTGCTTTGGCACTGATCTCCTTGGTCCGCTTGGTGCGGCGCAGTCGTTCGAGTTTACTCTACGTGCAAAGGCTCTCCCTTCACTTGCTGTCTTGCAGAGTGCGACCATCAACCCTGCAAAGATGGTGGGCAAAGAACGCTCGTTGGGTCAGATCAAGGTTGGATTCGAGGCAGATATTGTCATCACTGACGCCAACCCGGCCGAGAATGTTTCCATTCTTGATGACCCCGAAGCACATGTTCTTGGAGTAATCAAGGAGGGGAGGGTTCATAAGAGTCGCTGGAACGGCATGATAGAGGACGCAGCAGTGCCTGTTAGGGTCAAGGCAGCGTTATGAGATGGATGGCATCAAATCCACCCATGACAAAAACATTAACAATACGTACGCAAAACTGTAACGGACCTCAGGGTCAATTTTCACTGTTCTGTGACCAAGCCTCACGACAGGTCTGTGAAGTCTAAAACACCCATGCCATTCAAACCCATTAGATACGTTTGATCATTCGTCCAGGTGAATGAGGGTATCCAAAGATCTTCGGAAGATTGTGCGGCCACTGGGTGCTGGTTGTGAAGGGATCCTGTACTGTCCATTGGCAGAGAGAATCCTGACGTCAACACGTTTTCAAGCTGCGATGCCTCGGACTCGTCCCATGGAGCTGCTTGCGTCCCGTGCTGTAGTGACAATGGTCTCGTCACGTTGACTGTTAACTCAGGAAATTCCTGTTCAAATTCACCTTCCGAAAAGTCGTGATCTCGTTTAGCATTCGCAAGCCACTCTGTCCAACACACATAATCATCTGTGTCTTCCGCTGATGTATCAGAGCTCTTTTCTTGGCCCTGTTGTGTTGCCAGAAACTTGGACCTTGCTTCGTTTGTGATGGACCGCAAAGTCTCAATAAAGCGAACTCCCACTTGCGCCGTAACGTTCCCACCACAAGCCATCCGGCGAAGACAGTCCAGCCCAAATGCTATACGGCCCTCATACCCCGAGTCTCGGGTCAGGATGCCTGCAAGCAACAGGATGATCGTGGCAATACTGCAGCCCTGGAAGTCCGTAAATGAGAACCGCGCCAAGTTGCCGCTGCGATACAGGCACTCGAAGAGCTCGATCATCTTCTTCGCTGCTTTGACACACGCATCTGAGAACTGTTCAACATCTTTGCTGATACTTTGAAGTTCCTCGTGGGTGCGGAAAACCGCGCGAAGCCGGGCTCTGACGACAGTGACGACTGAGACTTTACCCATATCTATTGAAGCAAAATAGTAGTTGAGATGAAGGTGGAAGACAGTCCTGTAGCTGGAAGACTTGGGGTCAACATTTAGAAGACGTATCGAGGGCGGCAAATCTTTCTTCCACTTCTTAAGGGAATCCTGGGCGCTGTTCCAGGAGTTAAAATGCTCCGACGCTGAAGGAGTTTGGTTGATGCGTGACCATGCACTAGGGTCTTTGTTAGAAGCAATCTGAAAGTTGACCCGATGGAATCTGACCTACCCTGGTTGTGAGAGCTTGTCAATGATGAGAACAAAGGTTGCGTTGGCTATCTGGTGTTGAACATTGTCGAATCTTTGGGCCGAGTCTCGGCTCATTCGTCGAGGGAGGCGGACTGAGATGATGTCCTGGCTGATAGATCGCGGACGGTTGAGCTTGATGGTCATAGTTCTAGAATAGTTAGCTTCGGGAATCCAGATGCCGTCGAAGAGCAACGAACCTCTCTAGAGAGTATATAGACCACCACAACCTTCTTCTGGCCTCTTGTTCTTCCGGACTAAAGGCAGACTCGTCGGGTTCCTGGTGGAGGCCGATGGCAAGCGCTTTGCGCAAGGCTAATCCCATGTAGACATAGGATGCGCTGATAGCGCTAGCTGGCATGAGATACACACCGAGTATAAACGTTGTCTGCACAGACCTGACGCAAGAACGTTCAATAACGTCTGGAATCAAGCTACGCGCCTGGTTGTAGAAGATGCGACCGGGATCGAACCTCTGGTCATCTCTCTGCTTCATATGGTCAGAGGCTTCTGGCCGGGCAAGAGCAGTCCATTGGCTTCCTAGAGCGAATACCGCCAAGCTGAGACATACGAAGCTGGTGTCCAGTCTTATTGCTGACGCAGGCTCGTTGTAGAACTGGTCCAGTTCGGCTACAAACTGAGCCTGGTCGAAATAGAAAAAGACATCAGTCCCGTAAGCAATGCAGACTGAGACCAAAAAGTCAGCAACGGCCCTCGGGGGAAATCCCGCAACGATTTTCCTGAGACGACGGAGCTCCGTAAGTTCAGATGATGATGAGTGATTTTGTCGTGTCCCCATTTCCGTTATATCCTGCTCGTCTGGTGCTGATTGAGAATCAAGGCAGAATGCGTCTCGGAGCCGGGATAGGAAGCGTGGCCACATGAAGGCCTCGGAAGCCGTGCTGGCCGCTGGAGAGAGGCCGTTTCGAATGTTGCAGCGTTCCCCCTCAACACAATCTCCAACTGCATCATCCGGCTCTGCCCGTGCTGTCCGCTCAGTAACAGTCGTCTTTGACACGGAGCCTCGAAGTGCGGCCTCCTCTAGACTTGGCTCCCCATCAAATCGACAGAACTGTGAACTCTCAATACATCTCCGACATATCCCGGAGTCTGTCAAGACACATTTATTCTTGCGCATCTTGCAGCGATCGCAGGCACGCGATGCTCGTTTGCGGACTTCGTCTGGAACTCTACGGCGGCGACGCCGACGCTCCGCTGGAGACTCCATTGTGGGTGCAGAGGGCAGCCATGCAAGCCATTCGGCTTGTCCTCAATGAAACAAGAATCGGATGTTGATATGCTAGTGCCCGATAAGCTTTACGAAGATGCTGCGAGTGAAAATGCCACATCATTGAGGTTATATAAGCATATTAGTTGCCCAGGGAAACCCAATCCCAGCTCTCCGTATTTCGGAGGAAGGCAATGTTGCCGATAAGATCCTGGCAAGTACGCACTAATAAGACGGCCGTGATAAGCCAGGTTCAAGTCCTCTGCCGGCGATACGCGTTTCGCCGGGGATCCAAAAGGAGCTTCCAACAGTGGTCAAAGAACCTGACCAGTTGATTAGGCAAAGTTTAAGGGTATGTACACGTGTATCAAAAGGGTTCGCGTGCTGAAGAAAAACGTAATTACAGGTTTGCGAATGGTATAATGTGCATGTTCTTAGCAAAGCTAATATGGCATTTTGACTTAGAACCCAAGGCAGAGCATTGTAACTGGGACAAGAAGCCCAGCTTTACTCGGCTGTCTTCTGCTCCAAGCCTAAGATGCACGTAACTATGGCCAACGCTATCAAACTCGTGATTTCTTTGCACTGGCCCAGAGTGGTTTCGTCATCCAGAGCCATTTATATACCCTCCCCTCCATCTATGGCTAAGCACGGCGGGGATGTGGATCACTGCAACAATGCGACCAATCCTTTATCCTGCGAACTTTGATGTTCTGCGTCATAGTAAAAATAGGCCCATGAACGCTGGCTAAATAATGCTATAGATGATAAAGATGGTTTAACGAGTGTGATGGACAGTTAACTAGGACGACTTGATGATGGGTCGGACCTGCTCATCTAGCGTACCCAATATGATAAGTTGGACTAATTGAACATAACTAAAGATCCTTTCTCGCGTACTTGCTGTGGTTCTTCCGCAAGTTGGCCCCAATCTGAATGACGTTAGCCATTTCTAGGCATAGTTGAATGGACAGGATACAACATACCTTGTATAGGACGAACGGAATAGGAATAAATACGACCGCCAATACTCCCAATAGAGAGCTCGCCCAGTTCACACCCAGCCTCTCGTACATGGTGTTTGCGAAAAGAGGAAAAATCACACCAAAGGCGCTTCTGAACAAATCATTGCCTGCGAGAACTGACGCGGCATATTCTGGGTACGCATCAGGAAAATAGCTGAGCACTGAGTTGAACAGAAACATGGAGCCAATGCTGAACCATGCGGAGCCGATAATGGGCACAATCCAGTGGATGTCTGCCCTCGCCGTCCAGCCGAACCAGAAAAGGCATAATGGAATTGCAAATGCACCGGCAAAAGCAGGCGGGATACGTTTTTCAGGTTGAATGTCGCCATTTTCGTCGAATTGCGGCTCGAGGTATTTGCGTACGTACCAGAAGAAAGGCGGTATGGCAATGAAGGCTCCGGCCATGATACCCAAGAAGGCCAGACCTACCAATCCATCGCTGAAGCCATAGATACCACTGAATATGATCGGGAATGACTCGAACCAGAGATAAAGTAGACCGTAGATCAAGGCGATGTAGAGGTTTAGTAGCAACAGCATGGGTTCAGTGAAGCTGAGCGTGAATGGACGCACAAGGCACATCATGACAATGTCCCTGCCGGTCATCTCCTCGGCCAAGATCTCAGGTTTACTCTTGAACTTGTCGTCGCCCGTAATTTCTCGAAGCCGTTTCGCTCGACGGAACAAGATATTTGCCGAGCTTGTTTCTGGCAGACAGAAAAAGAGTAAGACGAATACTAAGATGCTTAGCCACATCAACTCCCAGATGGGCCACGTCCAGCCCTTGGCCATGGCCGCAAAGCCGCCAACGACAGGGCCTAACGTAGGTCCTACCACGGCAGCAATACCCCAACACGCAATTGCATAAGCTCTTTTCTTTGGCGCCCAGATATCTGCCAAAGTGGCGCCGCCGGTTGCGAGGACAGGAGACCCAACGAACCCCGAGAGGAAGCGAAAAGTGAGGAGCATGCCGAAGTTGACTGACAACGCCGTTGGTATCTGCAGGAGGATGAAGACAAAAAGTGTACCGATATAAATGGGATTGCGGCCAATGTAGGGGATCTCGGAGAGAGGGCTCCAGATCATCTGTGTTTCCGGTCAGTAAAGTCGTTCTGGCACAAAGATTAGGAGAGGAACGCACAGGGCCGAGGCCGTATCCAGCCACGAAAAGTGTGAGACCAAGCAGCGCGGCGACTTGGCTGACTCCAAAGACCAGCATCACATCCTTCAGCCCGGCCGTGTAAATGGCGGAGCCGATGTAGATGCTGGCCGTCAAAAGGCAGATCTGAAAGGTCACGAACACCTTCTTCGCCAACGGCCAGTTCTGTGGGTTCTAGTCGAAAATTAGACTGTGAGCGACAACTCCAGGACCTAAAGACACCCACCTCTGGGTCGTTGGGTAAAAACTCTACGAGTCGGTTACTTCCTCCGTTTTCCAGGTCGATGTTGGCATTCTTGAGGGTTTCTCCCACCTCGCCTGGAACCATAGTCCGGGTTGTATCGACACTACCATCTCTACTTTGGAAACTTATATTGGTCTTTTCTGTTCGTATCTTGTCGAAATCTCTCTCGGTTTCCTCGATTCGGCTGCATCGTGTTGCATTTGCGCATGTCTCTTGGTTAACATACTTGCGCCATGAATCGGGGCTCTGCTCTTCGAGGTATTGCAGTTGACGGATCTTTCCTCCGGTTAAGCATCTCAAAAGGTGACCAAATGCCGTTTCACGAAAGAATTCCATGACTAGCTGAAAGCTCCCGAAGTTTTGGGTGTGTACATGGGCTAGGTGAATCAATAGTTTGCACGCGAGCAATACCCGACTTTTGTAACATTTCCACTGATAATGATAACGTTCTTCAACGGATTCCGGTGGTGAAATGCGGACGCTTCTCTAAGAACAGCAGTTCGTACCGGAGAGGCGGTTTAACTAGTGGATAACCAAGCAGCGGTCAAGGCTTGATCGTCATGATGTGTGCGCACTGACTTCCATGAATTCCAAGATTCAAACACGTTTCGGAGACGGATCAGATATCTCAAACCCCCGTAGAGTATCTTACTGGCGTATTCATAATCGAACCCGCCTGAGAAAGTTTCGGGTCACTCGGCAGTTGTTCCCTTGAAGGGGGTTGCCGAAATCAACTTTCTCAGTGGATCTCTCGGTTGGGTTCTGGTGCCGAACGTCCTGTCCGGGCCTGACTAACTTTATGGAAGTCCGCGTCAGAACTCGTCTGAACAACTGCTACAGTACCTATTGTCTGATTCTGATACGGATTTTCGTATTTTATCGTAACAACGCGCTAATCCGACCAAGCCAGCCTCACTCACATGCCACTAGGTACTACATAGGTTTGTTGCAACAGATTTCTACTGGGCTAGAACACGGAAATCATGAAGGATATCGAATAGCCAGAGGAAGACATTCTTCCTTTGGGTTTCTTGTTGTCTCCTCGCGAAATGGGACACAGTACGGGCATGGCAGCACTGACGTCGATGTCGTCGCCGAGACGACTAATATAATGGTACTCTGTCTGCAATTGTTGCTCTGCTCAGTCATACCTCTGACATTATAATAAACTATAAAACAAGCGTTGACATCCTTGATTAGGTGGTGCATTGCACTTTACCCCTGCAAACTTAAACAGCCTAAACGCTTCAAAGCTTAACCCGTTGAGGGCAGAGGTTGTCGCATTTGTCATGTGCATAGATTAACTTTTTGTCGTGAAGCTGGGACAGCTTCGTGTGACTGGTTCCAGTTAGAGACGCCACGAGGTGGCGCCTCCAACCGATAAGACCCACAATAGAAAGAGTATTTCTAGGCGATATTTCTCTCGTACTTAGACTTAGGAAAATCAACTACTTCTCTTCATAAATGTAAAGACGCTGCGGTTCATCACAGTTTTCCTTGATCTTTCAACCTATGGTGAAGATTTCTCTAAAGTGGAGACCACCCAAGATGGTGTGGATTGATGAAGCTCTATCGGGTTGCAAGGGAAGAACATCATAATGTATTATTATGTTGACTTGACCATCGTCAAAAACTCGAAACTTCAAACACCATGCTTCAAATCGTGTATCTGGGCCACGATGTATGTATGTCAGCATTCCACCCTGGGCTAGCTATTTGTCGTTTTAGTATAGCGACAAGTATTTTGCTGCAGCTGGTGCAGTCTGCTAATACAACTTGCAATGCAACATCCCTCCTCGTTATAGTACGGTCTGGAGTAGTATGTTGGCCCATTAGAGCCTTAAAAACAAAGTCGTTAAATGCGGACAGACGCAACTTCAACCTGCAGCAGAATAGAACGAGTTCGCACAAGTTCTTTTCATATTTACGAGACATCATGAGAATATGGGCATGACCAACGGTCTCGCGGCAAGAGGGTTCCTGTTCCTGTTTGAGCAACCAGCCTATCTCTGATCTTTACTTAGCAAGATGCTTTGCTTGGGAATCTTTAGTTTGTTTGTAATGCGACGAGATTATTCATATGCAGCTGATTGATGTGGTTCATTTAGTTGGGAGATAACTGTATGCTATCACACTTCCTTGAGGAAATCCGCAATATCCATTGAGGCCCGAGCGTCGCCGTACACGGAAAATGTCACGATAACCTCGTGTATTTCCACCGTCTGTAACAGCTCTGTCAGGTGCTGTTGCACGTGACGTTTCACATTCACTTGCCTATATATAGGAACCTACTTTCATTACTTCTACTCACTTAGAACCCAAGCCTTTTAGACCTCAATTCCCATATGCCCTGCTGTGTGCTCTAACTCGTGACAGAAAACTAGTCATATTTCTTCGGAATCATAATAAATCTAAGCCGACTTCCTGAGGGTCGCCTATATATTTTGGAAATAAAGCGTCTGCTATCAGACTTGGTAGCACTTGTACACCTATTTAATTATGTTAGTAACACTAAGGGATAGGTTGATATAGTTAACCGTACGTATCAGTAGCAATTAACAAATAATAGGGGTAACTATAGTTCTCTATTATACGTAAAGAAAAGAAGGATAATTATTATAGGTTAGTTAGTTAAATAACTAACTTATTACCTACAAATCCTTAGAGAATCTATAGCTAAATATCTAAGGATTTACTAGCAATAAGTCATTAGGGTTAACCTAATAACTCTAATATTTATCTACAATAGTCAACATTATAACACTAGTAACTTTCTATAGTGCTAGAAATCCCCTATTATTTATATCTAAAAGAACAGCTAAAAAACGTAATAAAAAACAAGAAGCTAAAAAGTATTTAATACTCTTTACTTATGTAGCCTATTATATATAAGAAACCTATCTATTTATCTATATCTTTAACTACCTATTATTAACTAGCTTCTTTAATATATTATTTAGTAATAACTTTATAAGTTTATCTACTAGGTTATTACTACTATAAATCTACTGTATCTTAAAAATCTTATAGCGTTTATATAACTAGTAAAGGGCTATAATATTTATTATAAGTCACTTCTCCTTTATAGTGCTAAGTTTTATAAGGCACTTATAAAGCAAGTATAAGTTAGTGTAGAGTATTATAGGTATTTATAGTAGCTTAAGGCAGTTAGTAATTATTACAAGAGTAGTACTAATCGCGTAGGCAACATTAGCGCTAGCAACTATCTTATAGACCTTAGAGGTAAGTACACTATATATAACTCTCTTGTACTTTATTAAGCTAAAGTAAATAATATTACTAGCTAATTTAAAGCTTTTACTATTAGCAGTAGGTTACTTAATAATTTATTTATTAGTAAGGACTATAATAAAGCTAAGTTAGGAAGTAAGGTTATAGTTATTTATAAATAAGCTATTAATAAATATAAAGAGCTTAGTAGTTATAAGGTTAATTAGTAAGAATTATAGGCTATAGTTAAGGTTATTAATTTACTATTTAATTTAGTAGTTTAAAGCTTTAATTTTCTCTACTATAGGTAATTAGTGTTAGGCAGTAACTAAATAGTTAAAGTAGGCTTTAGGTTAATAAATAGAAGTAATATACACACTATAGGTATATTACTAGATATAATCTTACTAGGCAGTAGGTAATTTCTTATTAATAAGTTAAAGCTTTTTGCCTTAGCCTTTCTAGCAAAAGGTAAGCTTACTATTAGCAGTAATAGATAATACGCTACTGTTAAAGGTAATAAAGTTATTAGCTATAAGTAACTACTTAGGTTTTACTATAAACGTAGCCTTTTTAAGCTTCTTCTTTTTATAGATAGAGAATTTACTGTCTATAAGGCTAATTATATTATCTATTTATATACTAATTAATCTAAAGTTACTATTATTAAGTAATAATATTAATAAGTAAAGGTTAAAGGTTAATAAATCTATCTAGAGATTCTCTCTATAATAGTAGTTATAAGTTGCCTACTAGTAGGTTTCTGCCTCTATAATACTATATAATAGCTTAGTTACTATTATTATTATATTTACTAAGTAAAGATAGTAAATTTACGTAGGTAGGTAGGCAAAAATAATATAATTTAATAGTGTTACTAATTAAGTATACGCCTAGGTAATATTATATAACTAGAGGAGAAATCTACGTTAAAGTAGCAAAGGGGCAAAGGTAAGTATTAATTACTAAGCTATTTACTAAATAGTAAGTAACTATATAAGAATTATTTCTTTACTATTATCTATATAGCCTTAGATAATAAGCTATAATTTCTTATAGGGCTATTTATTTTTACTTTTTACTTTATAGACTATATATAATTTAAATACATAGGTATTACTATAGGATTTCTTGTTGTAGGTAATAATATAAAATACACTATAGTTAACAAGGGCTTTTACCTTTGCCTTGTTAGATTCTTTAAAGGGTTTACTAAGTGTAGTAATAATCCCTTTCTTGTGTAGCTTAATAGTAAGTGTATAGTCTACCTCCTCTTTTATAGTTAAGAACACTATAGTTATAGTAGAGTATATCTCTATAAAGAACATAGGTATTAGGTTCTTTTATAGGCAACTATAGTGTCTTTATAGTAGTTTATTATTAATAATAATAGTATTATACACTTCTTCTTTAGCGTTAGGTATCTCTACAGGGTCTTCTTGCGCTTACGCAGTGTGCACAGGACTATCTTCTGCTTGCGTAGAGTAGTTAGTGTACTTGTCTAGCGCAGGGAGGTCTAGTTAACCTTCCTCTGTGTAGTAGAGTTTTACTACAGTGATCCTAAAGTTATATAGGCTATAGAGTAAATTAATAGTATAAGTAGTGCTATTATTAGTAATAAGGTAAAATAGGCCCTATTAGCTATATTTCTTACGCTATATATAGACAAGGGATTAAAGGGGTAAAGCAACAGTATTAGTTAAATCTAGGCTATTGTATATTATTAGTGCTTTATATAGCTATTACTTTACATAGATCTAGTGTACTATGTTTATTACTTTCTTAATAGCTTTAGCGCACTATATAGTAGTTATAGTAAGTAGTAACTTATTAGTTATTTAAAAGTATATACTAAAAACAAGAAGAGTTAGGACAAGGCTATCTAGGCTAGTAGTATTATTAATTATTTTAATAGTAAGTTAAAGAGTAACTTTAGGTTTAGTGTTAATTTCTTTATAAATAATCTTATAGGCATAGTAAAGGGGTATATAATAGCACTTAACTTTACTAATACTATAATAAGCTTTAATAGGTATTTTCTTTACTTTAATAGATAACCTATAGGCAGCGTATTTAAACTTACTAGAGTAAAAATTTAGGCTAGCGTTAGTTATTATCTAATTAGGTAGGCTAAGATATATATTAATCTAGTATATCTATAGTACTTCTTATATATACTTTACAGTAATAGATTACAAGAATCTTACTATATTAAACACTATTACTATATTAACTATATAAAGTACTAGTTTATTACTATTAAGATATATTATATTAACAAGGATCTTATAGTTAAACTTATTATTATTATATAATATAAACTTAAAGTAACTAGGGGCTTTAGAGTATAATTAGTAGTAGCAGTAGTACTTATTAATAGCTTTAATTAACAACAGAGAGGTGTTTTCTTTAGTATATTTAAGTAACTTATAAAGTTACTAAATAGTTAGGTAGCTAAATTACTAGTAGATTTAGTGTAATTTACTGTCTATTAGGTATTACCTAGTAATACTCTTCTCTAGTAGTTATAAAAGTATCTACAGGTAACTAAATTAGTAAACAATAAGTACAATATTATTACTTTAGATTAGCTAGTTAGCAAGGTTATTAAATTTTATACTATAATAGTCTATATCCTTTAAGTAAAAGAGAAATAGAGTATTAGTAGTTATTATATAAAAAACAAGGTTACTAAGTAGTATAAGTACATTAATTACCCCTTAGGGATTTAAAGTAATTACTACTACTAAAGTAAATACTTACTTTACTACTTAGGCAGTATCTATAGGTATCTTTTTGCCTAAGTAGTACTAAAGGGCAAGGTATTACTTATAACTAGTAGTTAATTTCTTAGCTACACTAGTGTTAGGTATAATACTATAAAAAGTTATTACTAAATAGCGCTTATTAAGTATAAATATCTTATTAGTTTTTATAGTCTTACTAAGTAATAGCTCCTTTAGTAAGTTCTTATAGATAAGTATATAGCTAGTTACCTAGTTATATAACTTAGAGAACATAGTTAGGCTATTAATTAACAGTTATATAAAGAAGGTAGTAGATATAAAGAACACTATATCTATATAGTTATTATTATTACTAGTAGGTTATTTTTTACTATTACTTGCTTCTTAAAGATAACTTATATTATAACCTTTATAGTTAAAAAGAAAGTAGTTAAAGGTAGTTAGTAAAGCTTATATAAAGTAAGTACTTTTATACTAGTTAAACAAGGATTACTGCTCTTCTTTAGTATATTTAGTTAACTAACAACTAGGCTTACTATAGATAAAGCACTTCTTAGTTAATTTATTACTACACTAGTTTTTACTATAGTAGTTACTCTATAAAGAACCTTATATTTACTATAGATTAGCGTAATTATTATAGCTACTATTATACTTATAGTTAACCTAAAACTACTTATCCTCTGCAGTAGATTTATCTATAGGGTATTACATAGGTAGCTTATAGTAAAGTAAAGTATTTACTACTCTATTATGTAGTTATACACAGAGGCTATAAAATATAGCTAGTAGGTTAAGGAGGGCTATAGTGCACTTAGGTATACTATAGCAACAAGTAATAAGGCACTTATAATAATCCTTATCCTTTAGTAGGCTATTATAAGTAGTTACCTTAACTAGCTTAGTAACCCTTTTAATAAGTAACTTAAGGATCTTAAGCTTATTCTTACTATAGTTTTTATAAATAACTAAGTTAAACAATATATAGTAAAGCTTAGTAATATAGGCTAAGTATACCTTATTACCTTTAAATTATTCTTTAAGCTTTACTATTAAGGTATTAAAATTACCTGCCTATTAGTAGAGGGTAAAGATATAATACTCTTATAGTTTACCTTAAAGTATTACTTAAATTACTGCTCTATAGTAGTCTTACGTTATACCTACTTAGATACAAAGGTTATAAAATAACAGTAATTTTAAGTTAATAGTCTTATACTAGCTGCTAGTATACTTTATAGCCTAGTTATTAAAGTATATCTTTATAAGGTTACTTATTTACTTTAGTGTTAGTCCTAATGTTGCTATTAACGTTACTATAGTTAATAAAAGCTTCTACAGTAGCACAGTAGTTATTATACATAGGCTATAGATTTTAGCTATTATATAGGGTTTTAGCGTTAATAAAGGCAGTAGTAAAGTAAAGGTTAAGTTATTATAAAAGGTCTAATAGGTAACTACTAGTAATAGGTATACTTTAGCTAGTTTTTTACTATATAGGATTATATTATAACCTTAGATATTCTTAATAAAGTAAAGGTCTTTAAGGTATAGTTTAAAGTTATAAGATAATCTTTTAATAATAGTAATTATCTTATTAGTCTAGTAGGCGCCTTCCTCCTATTATAAAGTATTAAACACACATTAGGTAATTAATAGGTGTTTACTATAGTTAACCTATACACTATAGTTAATAAGGAAGTTACATAGGCTTATAAGGACCTTCTAGTTAATTACCTTAAAGTTATTTATAGACTATTTACTAAAATCCTTATAGGTATAGTAGAGTAATTTACTACTAATATAGTTATAGTACTTATAACTACTAATATAAAACATAGCAATAGTGTTAAGCGCAAAAGCTTATTACTTACTTATAAGGTTAGTTAGTAACTTCTTAATATAGTCCTTTTCTTATTACTACAGGAGAATATACTATATAAGGTTAGTAGGTATAGTAAAGATATTATTAATTACTACTACTTACTGCCTTACATTAGGTAGTATATTATACTTACTATAAACCTCTTCTTGTTGCCTTATAGGTAATAAGGCAGTAGCTTATAAGCCTTACTTACTTATAAGCTTATTATACTTACTTATCTTAGCTTAGGTCTTTTGCTTATAGGCGCAGTGTTATTTACTATTGCCCTCTGTTAGCCTAATAACCTCTTAAACATAGGTATTTCTTCTAGTAGACTAGAAGGCGTATACATTTATTAGAGGGATTACTACTAGTAGTATAGACAGTTAGAGAAAAACATACTCTTATAGGTAAATAACTTAGAAAAAAACAATAGGCTATTATATTAGCTACTTATTAACACTATTAGTTAGCAAAAGGAGGAGAAATAATAAGCTATTACATTAGTAACTTATTAACGCTGTTAGTTAGCAAAAGAAGTATATATATAGGAAAAAAAAGTTAGTAAGCTAAAGAGCTTATAACAAATAGGATATAGTAAATAATTACTAGTTAGCCATAAGTACATAAAGTAAAGGGTTTTTTATAGTCAAGAGCACTTCTCTAAAGGCAACAAAGCTTACATAATAAACGTAAATTAACAGGGTTTCTACTAGTCAAGGGGACTAGTTATAGATCCATTAATTAACCTATTATAATAGGTAATTAGCATAAACTATTACAGTAAGGGTATTTATAGAGGCGTTTTTTAGTACTTGCCTACTCTAGGTATATAAATAATTAACTAGTAATAATTACCTCTTCTTATAGTCCTTACTAATCTATAGTTTAGACAGTAAAGTTAACCTATATAGTTAACAGTAAAGTTAACCACTAATTAGTGTTAGTAACACCAAGGGATAAGTTAATACAGTTAACTGTACATATTAGTAGTAATTAACAAATAATAAGGGTAACTATAGTTCTCTATTATATATAAAGAAAAGAAGGATAATTATTGTAGGTTAGTTAGTTAAATAACTAACTTATTGCCCACAAATCCTCGGAGAATCTATGGCCAAATATCCGAGGATTCGCCGGCGATGAGTCATCGGGGTTAACCCGATAACTCCGATATTTATCCGCGATGGTCAACATCGCAACAGATTGATTTCTAATCTCTTGTGGCGCAAGGAGCAATATCGGTAGGAATTATCATCCAGCATAAGTTTTTGCAGCCTCAAGACTCTTTCTATGCAGAATATATAGAATGCCGTCTTATAAAGGGGTTGCGCACTTTCTCTATGCGTTCAAGTGCCCAGCTGATAGGGCTCTTTCTCCACTCAGCACGGAATATCTGTCGGCGAATGGGTAGGGTTCACGACGTAATCATCGTACGCCACGAGGCTACCACTATGGGGCTGGTTACGAACGTTGCCCTGGCTGTCTTTCAGAATAGTGAAGCGGCTAGAGTAGCTGTTTACGTTGAAAAAATGTTGTTAGTTACCCGAGAAAGTCTTGCGGTTCACTTTATGATGTGTGTGCGGGGTGTTCTTACTATGCGGCTGAACAGTTGCCACCATCGAATCTCGACTGAATGACACCGAACACGTTGTATGTCTTCTCAGTAGTAGTCTCAGAGACCACTGAGGTGATGTTGGGCAGGTGGTTCCAGTGCTTGGTGCCAGTCGTGGGGAGCAGCGCCTGCTTGAGTTGGACAATGGCTGCAGCTCCCTCGGCTTTGTTTTCGACCACGATAAGACGGCCCGTCTCAGGAACGAAAAAGTCCGTGAACGTGTCAGTGGACTTGTAGTCTTCTGCAGACGCATACAGACTATGATTGCAAGTCTCTTTGTTAGCTTCCTACGTCCAGCCGGGCGTCCTTGAGGCAGATGTTCTGGCTCAGGTCTTGAAGGCGTATGGAGGTTGAAGTGGAACTCACGCTTGGAGAAACGGCTTGAACGAAGCTTCAACGCCTGCTTCAGGTTCATATTTGCTCATATCCACACCCAGGGCGCTACCCAGGAGCATGGTGAGCGGGAAGACAACCGTGGAGGCTTTCATTGTAACGTAAGGCTGAGGCGATCTTGAGGAGGGTAAGTGGTGAAATGGGCTAAGGATCGCGGATCGAGCTTTACCCACAAGGGACCGCAATCAACAGTATTTATAACCCGGACGAAATTGGCTATGCAAGTAAACAGTGGCTCGTATACGAGACGAAAACAGGATTCTGAGCAGGGGGAAACTACAAGCACCCACCTGAGCAGGTCGACTACTCAGTCTAAAGCGGCATGATACAAGGGCGGTTTTCTCCCGCTGGGATGACGCCCTGTCAACGAATAGTGTGTCTAGATAGTGTAGATGATGAATACGGTGTACCTATCAACCTTACGAGGAAACGGCTTGTACTGGTACTTTGCGAGAGACTACACAAGCGACTGCATAACAATGATACCCTTGGCACCACCCTGACGATCATGATGGAGACATCCGCATTAGTCCTTCCTCGTACGGGCTACTTTCTATGTATACCACGCGGTCTTGATCTTCCCGGACGCCTCGGGCTTTTGTGGCTATATACAGCAACAACCTCTCTGGAACTAACGTTGCAAGCCATTCGGACGAACGATTGGATTGGTGCCCTCATCACATCTTACTATTCTACCCTGGACTCATGACCCTTTGCCCTGTGCCGTAAGTGAGTGTCCCACAAGTTTTATCACACGCAGTAACGAGTCATTGATCAAGTCACCATCATTTATATCACATATAATCGACGCTAAAATCCATGGCTTGAAGAATCTCCACCTTTCGCTAAGCGCTACCCACTGTAAGGTAATCAAACGTACACGTGGACGGATATCGTAGCTAGTTATCTAGTCTATCAACCTTAGCCTCGACTTAAGAGTCTATCATTGGCATCCGTCTTCTCCTGATATATTGAGTGCTTTACCAAAAACCCGTTGTCAAACGGCCACCGCCAAGGCTCTCAGTTACGAGGCTTGCTGCAGTTCTGATCCCAAGCCCGATGATTTTAATCGTTATCAGGTTATATACAGAATTTGGCTCAGCCCACGGAGTGGGGTAGGCGATACCAAAGAATTGATCCGCAATATAAGACGCAGCGGTATAAGGCTCCCGGGAGCCACGTAACCCCACCACAATAATGGAAAATCCTGCTTCAGGGGCCGTTGCACGACGCTGCCAGAATCTGGAAATGACTCGACGTTGCGGATACCGGGTGGTTCTGTTTGACAGAAAGGGCAACTTCAGCGATTCGTCGGATTGTTCTGGGCTTGCATAATGTTGGGGTTCGCTTCACTAAAACCGGGGCTCTTGTTTGCATAACTCGCCCCCAACTGCAGTTCGTCTACGTTTGTCTTGCTTCAAGATATGATGCAGTGGTAGCAAGCCGAAGAGATAAAACGTTTCGTACGATTTCCCATTTAGCGGTACCCTGGTGGCACTAGAACGGACGTGAGGATCTGAGCGTGACAACTCAGACCGAGACACGCTACGCCCTTTAGGTTCAGGACTAGATGGAATAGCAGTAAGACTCTAGTAGCAATGGTGATTTGATTTGTCACGCTTGTGTCCATGTTGGTAAGACGCCGGTGCCGTTGATGCTGATACACAGTAGCCAGTGGTCCATTTCAGGCCGTCAGACCAGCTCAGCGTCGAAAGGTACGCTAGAGGATCAGAGGATGACAGTCATTGGTAGATGCAATGTACTTCTTCATAGATTTGCCTAAGAGCATATTTTTAGTGAGGCCTCTCTCAGGGCCAGGATTCAGATTGGGTATTTCTCGACCATCATTTTCTTCAATGAAGATGAGTTCTCTCTAAGTCCAACAGGTATGGATCACATGTCGAGTTGTTAGTTAATATTCATGACGAGAGGCAGTGAAAGGTGCGGGAGAAAGTTCAAGATCTATCTTCTTTCATAGCCTGAACAAAGATGGCTGATTACGCCTGGTTAACCAAATACGGTGTTGCTTGAATAAAGCAACAGTACCATGTACACTATTTGTGCACTTCATTCGCACGTGAGCACATTTGGGGATTTTGCTCAATGACTTTGTGAATCAATCTATTCGGGCTTTCCATGGTATCTTGTGCCAAGATTACAAAGAACGCCGTTCACAAAGCTGTTGCTGATTCTGCTTCAACACCATTGAAGTTGACTCTTGCAGAGAGAGGAGCAAGTACAAAGGTTACAGCCCAATCCCACTCCATTCCTCCTGTCACACCCAATATTGACTGCATGTCGATGACCGATTGACGTTGCTTTATGAGGAGATGAGGGATAGCTGTTTTCTGTTGAGGAGACTAAGGAGCGTCCAGTCTTGCTTGCGCCAAGAGGGCGTCGCGGGTAAGGCCTGGGAAGAGAGTTGGGTAGTGTTCCTTGCGGAGGTGACGGCGAACCTCATCATTGCGGCTACGTCGGACGCCACAACGGATGCATTGAAGCGTGTAGCCACTCTTGGGAATGCGGTTAGGGTCATGGGGGCGGCGGTGGCGGCGACGGTGACCCTGAGAGGCAGCCGGCTGATGCTGCTGGTTGACGTTGCCGGAGCTAGCAGTGGCCAGGTCGCGGGCAGCAAATGCCACGGCTTTCTCGTTGTTGGCTTCAGCCATCATCATAGCCTGTGCAGCATTGTTCTCGCCTTTCTCTGACTGAGCTTCGACAGCTTTGAGCTCTTCCTGGAGAGCCAGCTCTCTTGCCTGCTCGGCCTTGGCTGCAGCGTTGGCCACCTCGCCAGTGCTGCGGGCGATATCGCGGATCTGGCCTCTCATAATTCGCTGGAGCTCTTGAACTGTCTTCTTGAGTGCTGCAGCACTCTCACCAGCATTCAAGGCATGCTGGAGGGTGAGGGCGTCGTAGGCCTTGTAGTCGGTGCTTGGGATAGTCATGATGGTGTTCTGCACCAAAGAAGTCAGGATGACTCAGTCTGATGGCTTTCAGAAACCCAGATGAAAACATACCTTCAGATTATTATCGATTCGATTGGTATTCTTGCGATAAGCGCTTTGACGTTGCTCTTGTTGTTGCTGCTGTTGTGATGTGGTTGCGGTAGTTTTGAAGAAATGCACTTGACTTTGCGAGGTTAGAGGTGAGACCTCGTAAATAAAAAAAAACCAACGACAAATCGGCAAGAGAAACCAAGGCAGGAACGGCCTGGAGAATCAGGAGTTAGCAGGTGTGTGTGGCCGGATGGGTTGTCGGTATGTACTTCTGTATTTCATCCCAACTCACGTAAACCTGAATACGCAACAACTTCACCTGGTCTACATTACATGCTGTGACTTTTCCTCCTTTTGGCGGGTCTTCCCTTGCTTGACCTGGACTTTCAACTTCTCCATTCATCTTCTCGTCTTTTGGGGCACAATACTTCTCTTCTTATCCACAAGGACCAGAGGTATGAACTCTTACCATCTCCCTTCGTCGATATTCATCCTTTTCGCTTCCTTCAGACTCCGTGTTACTTTCCCGGATTCCTCATCATCGCGTTGTTCCACTGGCAGGATGAACCACACTTCTTCATACATGAGTCGTCTTCGTCTGCTTACCTCTACCAACGGGCATCTGATTCCTCGTCTCTATCCATACAAGAAACGAAGACTTCAGACTCGATAATTCGTTCTGAAGTCAAGGCAATTCCATCGCTTTATCTGGCCTCCGTTCAACTCACTTCATCGTCGCATCCGGCACTCAACGATCCAATCATCAGCTCGGGTTCCGCCAGCAGACTTTATCGATAGTCTCGGGAAATACCTCATCAGCGCGCAAATCTCACTTCTCAGTACTTCATTTTCCCTTTATCCATCATCCGGCATCGTCATTGCTCACTGATGTCACCTAGATTACCTCATCTCAAAAACGCCAATAATCGAGGCCTTCTTGTCCACCGACACCCACGTGGCTCTCCCCTTCCTCCGCAAAGCTGGATCATCTTCTCATCTGGCTGTTGATGGAAAACTCTTCCTCATTCTTGGCGACGAGACACGTCTTCGTCCACCACTTCAGCCGCTTACATGGCCAACGCCAACATCTGACAGAAGGTGAAGGCAACAAGAGCCAACACAGCTTTCATCGCTGTCACCTGGGAGGTCTGGGAGCACATCAGCCAGAGCGATGAAAACCAACAGACCATTTTGATGGTCCAAATTGGGGGCCAGATTGATCTCAGCAAGGATTTCCGAGACTGCTCAACAGCTGCAAACGCAGCCTTTGGGGCAGATGTGCCCTAGGCATTTGTCGACTATCTCAAGCAAGCTGGCTCCCTGATGACCAGCAATAAAGGATACGATTGGGAAATGTTTGAATCAAACCTGGACCGCGCAGAGGAGATCTTCACCATTCATCACTTGGCTGATCACGTCGAGACACTGGCCAGAATCGTCAAGGGTGTCTACCCTCTTGTGGCAACTGTTGCCCTTAGAGACACCGAGGGCATGATGTATGGGGCTTCTGTCACTGACAACCTCCCCATCTGGGAGGGATTTGCAAAATCCGTTGATGTCTATGCCCCAAGAATGCTCAATGGTAACTACAACAGCATCTGCAAGAATCGGGGTGTCAAGGCTAGTCAGCCTCTTCTTGTTGTAGCTCATCCTCAGGACTGGAACAACATGCGCGACGACGACGACGACGACGACGACGACAACATTACTCGACGCACAACTTGCCTCTCACCCACCGCTTCGAGAGCCAGTGCGCGCTCAAGGCCGTCCGGGGGCATCATCGACGAGCGGTCCGGCATTCCAGTCAGCCCAGAGCTGGACGCGCGGTCCGACGGGGACTAGGGCCGCCAAGCTCTCTTACAGCTTCAACTTAAGGCCGCTCACAAAACACCCGGGGAGACGTACGAGCTGTGTGCTCTTTTCCCGCATCCTGCCAGTAGCTTCGCACCGTTTCGCTGATTACCGCGAAAACGGATTGAAAATCCAGACTTCCTAGGGCCCAGCAGCTAACCCGAACACAGCAGCGTGTTGCTGATGATAAAGGGGCTGCTGATCCACTCTACTGGCTGCTATTACTTACCATCTGGGTGAATTGATCTTTCTCACGTCCTCCGCTAACACCTTGCCCCTTGTCCGAGTACTGACAGGCCACCACTCTGGGTGGACGCATCAGCCCTACGGAGCAGGTTGATCGGCTTCCATTGCATGATGCTCCAGAAACAAAACCCTTTCACAAGGGCAACGAAAGACGTCATCGTCCCCCTCCCCCCCCTTCAGAATCGCCACGTCTAGGGGGGTCCTAGTTGCAACATCTATGTTCCTCAGCTCCGATTATCCAGGGACAAGCCCTGTGGGTGGTAAGACACAGAGGGAAAGAGAAACAATGAAAGAAAAAGGCGTTTAGCAAAGCCCAGCACAGTCCATCTCCCCCTATGTGTGTGAGTGGACACATGGGACTTTGATGCCGTAAGAAAGAAAGGAGGGGTCTTCCTCGATCGGTTGGACTCGGCCAAGCCAGCTGAGGTGTGTGCGAGGATGAGTGGAAGTTGCAGAACCGGCCGTGTCAAACAAGAAAAAGAAAAATATAAAACAAAAAACAAAAAACAAAACCTGGCCTCTCCACCGGACAAGTTCCGTTTACCCCGATCCCCGCCCCGTTTGAGGCAGCCGGCCGCCGACGGGAGCCGGAGTTCAATGCCGGGTTGCAAGACTCTCCCTCCATCATATAGGACAAAGCTGCACTTGCCCATTATTCCAACGGGGTTCTCCCGGCAACATTGGGGATTGAAATGGCTGGCCGCCCTAATGCACTGCAGAAAGTTAGCGCGATGGATTTGAGGCTGCTGGAAATTGATTCAACTGCTCCATCGGAACATCGGTTGGGCAGTGTCAGTTCTGGAGCAATATTTCAGTCAATCTTGGTGATGAGCAACAGTATTGCATCTTTTCAAACAAGTAAATTTGAGCACTGGGGTATCATTTCTATGGACAACTGCCTTCCACCCTTTCCTTTCTTTTTTTTTTTTTTTTTTGAAAGCCTTGCGACATGCGCCCATGGTCCGCGAGCGCCGTCCTGTATAACAGACAAGCCATGAGGTACTCGTGTCACTGTTTTCAAGTGTGAAGGAAGGCCCATGCAGTCGTGTGTGTACGTCTATGTTGAATTCTTGCTGATACTCCGAATGAGTCTAGTCCGAGGGAAGCTGAACAGCTCAAGGGCATTCCAGCCCTTTGAGAGCAATGTGGTGTAGCAGGCTTCTTCGGGCGTCTTTGTGCGAGCGGGAGAGCTTAAAATGCAGCGTCCCCCTGGGTAGGGGGGCCGGCGTAGTTCTTCTTGCCCCAGGCGATGTACCATCCACCAGAGATGAGGCAAGCGGCGACAAATACGGCGGGGGCGTAGTTTACCGTCGCGGCGGTGACGGGAACGAACACAGGCATGCAGAACAGAGGCATAGCGAGGGCGGACCAAGCTGCCAGCGCGTTAGTTTTATGATATCAGAGGCAAACGGCGCGCAGGTTTCACTTACCGAGAGCAATGACGTTGGCAGCGACACCAAACTTGCCCAGGTTGAAGGGGCTTCCAATCAAGTGGCTGCGGCCGTCAAAGAGGCTGATGGCGATGGGCATGGCGTACGAGGCGGTGAGAGAGATGACGCCAACACCAGAAAAGGCGTTGAAGGCCGCGCTGGAACCGAAGTAGATAAGGCCGAGGATGATCTGGATAGCCATGCTGAGCATCATGGCGTTCAGAGGCACGTCCAGCTTGGGGTGGACCTCCTTCCACCAACGGGAACCGGGAATGGCACCATCACGGGCGAAGGCCCAGGTGCACCGGGATGCAGCGGTGGTGCAGCCGATGCCGCAAAGGATGGCGAGAACCATGAGCGGGAGGAGAAGCCCAAAGGCGCCGCCCGAGGTGCCCATGGCGTCCTTGACGATGGCCGGAACCGGCTGGCCGTTGGCCAAGCTGATGAGGTAGGTGATGTCCGGGAGAACGAAGACGATAGGGATGAGGAAAAGCAGGCCGGCCACAGTGTTGAGGATGACGGTCAGGACGAGCGCCTTAGGGACCTGGGTCGCGGGCTTCTTTACTTCCTCGCACATGCTGCATTGCCAGGGTTAGCATCCGTGAAACATCCTTCGATCCATCCATTGCGTTGGGGCCCAAGCTTACGAGATAACCATGCCGGTGGACGAAGTGGCGTATCCGGCGTGGAGCAGACCGACCATGAAAGACCACCCAGGGGTCCATCCCGAGTTGGCTTCGAAGTGCGTGAAGACGTACGCAGCGTCATGGCGGCCGTTCTTGGCGACAACGAGGATGGCAATAATAATGGCCAACAGACCAGCAAAGGTCCAGAAGATGGCGGCGGTCTAGGTCATACAAAAAACGTTTTAGCACTATTTCTCACACTATCCCACGGGAGACGAAACCGAAAGTCATTCTTACATCAAGCAGGGGAAGCCACTTGTTGCCGAGCGAGGACACCGCGTTGCAGAGGAGAGTCAGGCCCAGAAAGATGAGGAACACCTGGTACGGATCGCCGGTGAGGACGCCGACACCAGGCGCCGACTCGAAAACGTTGATGCATGCAACGAAGAAGAGGGCAGTTCCAAAGTTCACGGCGAGAGTGATGGTAATGTTCCCCACAACGTAGAGCCAGCCGCAAATCCAACTGGCCACACGGCGGTACTGGGGGGAGGCAAGCATGAAGGCCTGGTAGTAAACACCTGTTTCCAACAGTCAGCGTCGAGCCCGGCAGAGGCACGCCGGAGCGAGCCAGGATTTATATCGGGACCGGTTCGGGCGCCGCAAGGCGGGCATGACGGGCAAGGGAGAGTCGGTAAGTACCTCCGGCAGTAGGGTAGACACTGGTGATTTCACCAAGCGAAGCAGCGACACAAATGATGATCAAAGACACGCCGAGCCAACCCCAAATGATGTTTACGGGACCACCGCCAGCCAAGGGGTAGACCAGGGTTGTGGCCAGACCGTAGGGAATGGAAGCGAGGACGAAGGACATAAAGGCGACCTGCAGCGTCGAACGACTGCGCTCAAGCTCGGGCTTGTAGCCAAGCTGCTCCAGCATGTTGTCGGCGCCGCCATCGTCCGAGCGGGAGGGGCGAGTAGCGAAGCCATCCTTAATGTCGCCCTTGACGCCCAAGCCGGCATCGTGCTCGCGAGCACCGGGATCCTGAGAGACCACCTGCGCCATTATCGAGTACTTGATAAAGAAAAGCCCTTCGTGGTCGTTGGCTTTTACCGACTGTCTGTCGAAGAGCAAGTCTCAAGTCAAAATGGGACCTGAAGACGACAGTAGCGTCAGAAGGGAGTGGGGGAGGGGCGAAGGTTAAAATGATGAGACGACGAATCCAAGTGACATAGGGACGGCAATGCCTTATGTGTCGTTGGAAAGCCAGGGGAAGACTGGAAGCTTAATCTGAAGGAGGACCGTCCTGGTGTGTGATTCGACTAAAGGATTCCAGTGCCGAGGAAATGGGAAGATGCAGGATTTAAAAGAAAGCAGGAAAACAAAAAAGAGAGAAAGAGAGAGGCAAAAACCTGGCAAGGGTCAAAATTTGAGAGACAAACCAGACAGGCTGCCATAGACAGACAGCCAGACAAGCAGTTGGAAGGCGGCAGGGAAGGACTCGATTGAGTTGAGGCAGTCCTCACTGTCCGTCCAACTTTCTTCTCGTTCTGTTTGGTTTCGCGTCCGCCGGGATGACCAGAATGACATCCACCTCATTGGATGAGAACGTGGGCTGCGGGGCCTCCTCAAAAGAGTACCTTGAAATGTCTCTTCGACACTCCCCCCCCCCCCCCCCCCCCCCCTTTCGCTCCATACCCATGTCCATGCCCTTTGCCCCCCATCTCGGCCCCTGTCGTCAGCGTTCATACGTCTTGTCCTATCAGTGCCGTTCCCTGTATCTGGACGTACTACGTATGCAGTGGGCTAGCTGCTGCTGTCGGGCGTGGGTGCGGGTTGACAGAGTTTTAGCGCAGGCTTCCCTCAACTTGCTGTTTATCTCGAGCCTCTCTCTGTCGGACTCCTGTCTGACTCGGGGTCCTCGGTGGATTCGACTGGTGCCACAGCAATCTTCTGCCGTCCATACCCTGCGCTGCTGATAAAGACTTGCCGAGCACAGCACCAGCTAGTCCAGGCCAGGCCAGCAAGCGCGGATAAGATGGCTCTTCTCGCTTGCCGACGTCGCCCTGCGGCGTGGTAGTGACAAGACGACGCAGAACGCCGCGGCAGCACGCGACACGATCAGCGGCCGAGAGTGGGCTGGAAAGGTAAGCATGTGCTTTGGTATCCGTATCGAAACTGGACGTAGTGCCAAGACCGGCCTCTTCGTCCGACCTGTAAGAGAGCGTGTGTACGGCCCCCTGGTTGCGGTAATTTGTCCTGCGCTATCGACAGCAGGCCTGAAGCATGTTGGGGCCAGTTCATCATTCGCCGATCCAACGTAGGTCGGCAATACCTTTCTCACTCTGGCTTTAGCTTGGCTGCACGGCCTGTCCCTTATTGCATATTTGTTTTCCCTGCCAGGGTGCCAGGTAACAATTATCGGTCGTTTGGAACCACGCGCCATTGGGAGCTTTGTCCGCGTCTGTACGTCGCACGATCTGGATTAGCCTGGGGAAACAGGCTTGAGCCTTGACTGGACCACACAGTACCCAGGTAGTCTTTCATCATCCGTCCGCTGTTCGTTGCGAGGAGCCAACTGCTGTCGGAGGGTGTGATTCTTCGCGTGTTCTTGGCGGCTTCTTTCGCATGCGCGCTGTCCGCCACACTGGAATTGGGCGCCGATCAACGAGCAGCAACCTCTCGGCAAGCGGCATGCCACGGTATCCCGAGACGTATTCTTTCGATCGCTGTTCCACTGAAATCCGTTGTCCTCTCTCTTCCCCCTGCTCCCTCTCTCCCGTCGGGGTCATGTAGGACAATGCCGAGAAAAGCCGTTAAGCTATGAGGCATCGGATGAGGCTTTAGAGCCCCACGTTCTAGCACACTTGTGGCCTTGATGAGAGAATCAACAGGGGCCGCGATGCGCCGGAAAGTAAAGAGAGATAAAATATCCATCTTTCCATCTGTCCTCATGCGACAACGGGCTCAACAATGGCGATATGACGTAGTGGTGTGGTGCAACTTGCCAACTAGCGCAGCGGTCTCTCCACGCGAATGCAGACCGTTGATTCGCCTAAGGCGAGTCGTGGAGTCTCTTAGTCCCGTCTTGCCGTCTTGAACCTGACGATTGTGGAGGATGACATTGTTGGCGGTCGCAAATGGAGCGAGTGAGCGTTAAGAATAGAGCCAAGTGGGCACGCTTGGGTGAGGATCCAACGGAGAGAAATGGGAGAACTTTGGAGCAGATGGAGATGTCTGGCAGGGGCTCCCCAATGTTGCATAAGGGATCCGAAAGATCCTAAAGCTGACTTCAGCCCCCGAGCAGGGGGGGGGGGGGGAGGGGGGGCACACCCTGACGACAGAAAACCAAGCCCACTAGGATCGTGAGGCCTGCAAGCTCCCGAAGCAAGAGATTCTGATGAGGCCCTGGAATATTGCTGATGTCACAGGGAAGACTCCGGTGATGGTCCACCCATCCGCCGCACACGGTTGGAGCCAAGCCGAGTTGTACGTAAAAGGGTCTTTGCCCCGGTTTAACGTGGGTGAGGTACGAATACAGTGTACTGGTGGTCGACGGCAGCCAGGAGCTGACTATTGGCCAGTCGTGGCCAAGTTCGGAAAGAGTAGAGAAGCCAAGATTCCGTAATTGGAATGGGAAATGTGGCGGCAAGCCAATATTCCATACTGGAGAAACAACTGGCCCGGCTTGACGAAGGAGAGAGGAAGAGACCGGGGATGAACCCCTCGACGCCGTGCGCGAGACAGGTACAGTACATTGAAGCTGTCCCACCACTTCGGGTCGGCCAACTGTGGTGAAGGCATGATGGCGCAATTGGCCGCTGAGACACTCGGGGCATCGGGGGCCCTGTCTTGTTCGATGCTGAACGGGAGGGGCACACTCCCGATACGTAGATACGTATCGAATCTGGGGAAGGACTAAGATGGGTGACCATACTGAATGGATAGCCTTACATCATGGCCGACTAGGTGGCGTCACGACCATTGTTGCTGCTGGACGATGCACCTTGCACCGTGGCCGTTGTGAAATCAAGCAAGCAAGCAAGAAAGCGGATGTGGCGCGGCGCCATGATGATGGTCCTAAGCGAGGTGGGAATGAAGAAGGCAGACGGCGACAAGGTTGCATCCACAGTGTAGAATGCCACGAGTTTCTGAACCAGACCCTAAGATGGCAGTGTAGTCGGTACGCATGGGACGACGGGGATTTGGAACGACGAGGGGTTCGTTCGAATTAGGTTGTTTTGCGTAGGGCTGGGAATTGTGCGTGTTTGCGCCCGTCGACGTCGGCAAGGGTCTCTGGATCTGTGTTTCTTATTCTTCGCTCCCGTCCTGCCACACAGTTAGCGCGAGTGAACCGCAGCTGGGTACGAGTTGGCGAGTGCTTGTTCGTGTGCCGACAACCAACGATATCGAGGGACCACCAATAGTAGAGAAAGATCTGCACTTGTATTCTCCTATCTTGCAGCAGTGCAGTACATTGGGATGCAGACAACCAGGGCGGTTCGGGCAAGGTGCAAGGGGGAGGACGCCGTACATGTAGATGACGAGACCCTGCTGTCGCTCCTTGTATACTTGAGTATCCGCAAGAAAGGTTGATAGAGGCGCCAAGACCGGGACAGCTATCCATGAGGACGGGATGCAACGTGGAGTTGTGAAGAGGGACTGCGAAGAATGGGGAGACACGAGAGTAGGCGACGACGGCCAATGGTGCACTGCAAAAAGCGCGCCGGTAATGCTGATGATAGTGATGAAAGAGAGAGGAGGAAGAACGCCTTGTTGTTGACGGAATCGTGAGCATCGGGAAACCCGCCTCTGGCTGTCGTCTTTTCTGCGATGGTGGATCGTCACGGTGACGGCACATCACGTGTTCGTGCATATCGACGTTCGTCGTGGGAAGGAGACAGTGAGGTAGGTACGTATTCACGCAAGCGATGAGAAGGCGGAAGGAAGGAAGGAAGGAACGGGGGCACATCGTGCCTTCCCTCCGATGCTCTTTCTGGCAGTGCACTGCCGCCGTCGCTGCTCCCTCGACATTCTCACAACCTTTTGCATACATTGTCATCATCGTCGTCGTCGTCGGCCTCATCCTCTTCGCCTTCCTCTTTCTCCGATGATCCCAGCCTCGGCTGCCTGAGTCATGTCCCAAAGTGCCTCGACAGTTTCCCAGGAAACTCAAAATCTAGGCCGGCCTTCTTTCAAAGATGGTTGTCGGTCTCCTCCACAAAAGCCTTCCCCCACCCCTTTCTATCTCCAGACACGCGGCGATAACACTGACCACGATCTACGTACAGCAGGCACTCTCGACGAAGCACACGCAAGACACAATGGTAGGCCGGCGGCACGCAAAACCAAGCGACAAAGAATACCGAGACGGACCGGGAGTGCCCCAGCGAGGTCACGCATAGCCCCTAGTACTTCTGTCGCGGAGACGAAGGCCATAAAACCGCAATGGCTGGCAAGACTAGGAGCGTCTCTGGCCACACTATTCTAGATAGGGCTTCCGTCGGCCGATACGGATACAACTTACAAGTCTACTCGACAGGCCAAAGAGGTTCCCATTCGGGAAAGCACAACCTCCTTTCCGTCCCCAGTCTACGGATAGGTCAACTGGAGCCTTAGACACAGATTGTGGTCAGCGAAAACAGCTACGGGTGGCCATGTTGCGTGGGGGGACATCGGCTGACCAGGGCTACTATCTGCTGCTTATCTTACGAAAAACCAGCAGGGCCGTTGATTACATGGCCATTAACAGTACATAATACAGATGACTCCTATCGCCGATGATAAGGCGCCAATGCAGCGATCAAGGCCATCTGTGAAGAAAAAAAATGGAGAGAGAGGAATCAACAACAATGGTAAGCCGAGGTCCATTACCCGTACTCCATACAGAGTATATACAAAGGCTCGGAACCACAAGTAACCAAAGGCGCCAGTAGACGACTCTCGTATACGCCAACTTACTATGCCCTACTCATCGGGCCAACGTCTCTCCTCGGTACGCTGCACAAACCTACAAGGCACTCAGCCCCCCCTGTGCTAGCGTTCCTTTGGTCGTGGGTCCCTCCCTAGCTGCCATGCCCGAGTTCAATGATGGCGCATTCCAACAATTTAAGCGAGTGTAACATGTGCGTGGGTCGCTAGCGTCTCCCGACGTCTTTGAACAGTGACTGGACAGAGAGGGTCTTTCATTAGGAGGAATCGGTCGGAGGACACGCGGAATGGGGAACACAGATCAACATCACGGCCGGACCCACAGTCGGGGATGAGTGGGGGGCGAGAGCATCATCTGTGCATCTCCATACCCCGTTGCTGGTTGGTCAATGGCTCCTTGTCGGCTCCGGTCCCACTTATGCAAACTTCTCACAGGTTCCTCGTATCCGAAAGGCCCACACTCTAGGGGCCGTCGATGCCCCATTCCCTCGGCCGCTCTACCAATTCTCGGTATCTTTTTTTCTTCTTGTTTGTGTCTTCCTGTCCCAATCTAGACTGACTATTGACAGGGAAAAGGCATAGCGGCGGGCGTCACAGGGTTGAACAATAAGAATTGGGGATTTGTGTGCCGGCCGGCAAAAGGTTATTGAAAGGGACGAGACTCGAACTCGCGCGGGTTGCCCCACCAGGAAACAGATGTTAAGCTGACCTTAACCTGGCGCCATAACCAACTCGGCCACCCTTCCGACAAAGAGGCTTTACTCTAGGTTGCTGTTGTCTGGTGCGAAAATCCGCGACTCATATCTAGGGCCGTGAAGACGGCTGTCTTCAGTCGAGTTGCTGTCTGTGGCTTGCTTCTCAGATTGGACCCTGATCGAGTGAGCCTACAACCGCCGCCTCTATCCCACCAAATTCGCACTGATTCTTGATAGCTCCTCGACGACGACGACGATGACGACGACGACGCCGCCGTCACCGCTATTGGCTTTCCTCGGCTTTGCTGCATAGGTCTTGTCTGCATTCGTCCATTCATTCGTTCGTTCGTTCGTTCGCTCGCTCGCTCAATAGTTCGTTCGTTGCTCCGGGTTCGTCGGTTGCTTTGAGCCCTATCTGGTGGCCATCAACTGCCACATAGTCGTCCTCCCGGTGACAATCTGCGTCACCATAGTTTCGCCATCCGTTGCCACCACCCCTGTGATCACTGACGGCGACTTACCCACTTTGGCTATGCCCTGCGTCGACTGGTCGAGACACACGCCGCTATTTGAGTCGCGAATCCGAAGTTTCCCCCCGTCCAACTGCACCGTTGCGAGGAATCTGCCATCGCAAGGAACGCATCCGTATGCGCAACCTTTCATCTCGAACCCTGCCCTACCGCCATTATCTGGCCACCATGTCGTCAGTCTCCATGTCCGCGGCTCTCCCGCCTCGCAAGAAAGCACTATAACGCGCCCTTTGCAAGCCACAAGCTGCACCACTTCCCGCCCATCCTCACCCCATGCCCTCTTGGGCTTTGATTCGCCGATACACGACCACGACCCAACTGCCCAGGCCGTCAATCGCCCCGACCGGTCAGCGGTTGCGATCCGACACGAGTCGGGCGTGAATGCAAACCTGGTCGTCGGCAGCCCGTTCGTTCGTTTCATGCTCTCGCGGAGGGTTCTCACGTGTGTGTTGAGTATCGTCTCCCAGATGTCGACGGCCCCGCCTGATATCCATGCGAGCAGGCGACCGTCGGGCGAATACTGAATGGAATGGAAGTCGGTTCCCGACGCCGCCACGGCTTCGGCCGTCCGGCTTACCCAATCATACGCCCATACCTCGTACCTCGTCCCGAGCCGGAATGCGAGCGCGATGAGGCTACTACTGTGAGGGGAGATTGCGATGCCCGTCACGTAGTCCATCGCGATGTCGATTTCTATGCGCCGAGGCGCCACGTTGCGGCGCAAACTCCAAGCCAGCACGTCGCGTTCACCGTGAACCGTCAAGAGGGCGTCGTCTGATGCGCTCGAGAGCCTGATCTGCATCGGTACGCCCAGAGAAGCCGGCACTGTCTGCGAGAAATTGTATTGCACGCATACTGACGCACCCGGCATGCCATCGCGTCGCGCTTCGTCGCCGTCGTCGCCGCCGTCGTCGTCGTCGTCGTCGTCGTCGTCCACGTCGTCGTCCACGTCGTCGTCCACGTCTTCCCTGTGCAGCATAATCTGGGTCGATTCTCCCTGTTGAGAGTCGCACGTGATGGTGTGATGGTCACTTCGGACGCCATCGCCTTGTCCCTTTTGGGGGCACATGGCTCAAGTTATTTATGCCAGGCAACACCCAGAGCTATGGCAAGGTGCTTTCCGAGGTTTCGCTCCTCCAGTTCGGACCGACAATGGAGGACCGCCCTGCAGGAGATTGAAATCACGTCCTTGCACACACCCGAGTGCATCCGTCCACCACTGTTTAGTCCACCGCAGGACCCAGAGCATAGCCCCTCCATCATTACATAACTACAATTGCTCGGATCCGGGTGTGCCTGCACTGCAGAGACAGCCTCCAAGTCCTCGTGGCCGAGGATCAAGGATGAGACAATGGTGGTCTGGTCGTCAGCGACTTGGTTGTTTCGCCAGAGGGTGGTGAGCTTGATGCTCGTACTAGCCAGATTTGGTCTGGCCGTATAGCGCCGGAACCTTGGAGGCTGCTCTGTGGCTAGGAAGCTTCGGGACCCATCTATAGGAGAAAGAGGTGTGTGTTCCACTACATTCTTTCGTGCTATGATCGCCGGGAACAGAACAGTCGAAGCTCTCAGCCCCCGGCCCGAGGCATTAGGTGCCGAGGGCCCAAGCAAACTATCTAACCTCACCACGTGGCCCGGGGCCGCAGTTCTACGCCATTGCAGGACAATGATTTTGTTCTCACCCTGGCCCAAATGACTGTTCGCTCAGCTCACCCAGGCCGCCAGACTTTGAACGACGGAGGCCATCCCCTGACTGGTAATCCACGTGTTGAATGTATTCCGTGACGCTAAAGGCCAAATCTGTAGTGGGTTTTCCTGTGAGACTATGCAGGACTGGGACCCAGACTGGTGGTTCGCATACCGTTGGGATGCGGCATCAAACGTTGCATCTATCCTCAACGAGCAAGACGTCTCTGTCCTGCTCGCCCAAGGCTCAACAGTTCGATTTGCAGTACTGCTCGTGATGCCGCCGACCTCATTCGCGGCCACAGTCTACTTCTGTGGCCGGATGTTCCTTCGACCTGAAGCTGAAGGGCGGAGAGACGGTGGCATGTACCATGGCCAGTGTCTATGTGCACTACGCTGAGGTTGTTGACGAGTGGGAATATCTTGCACGGGAAAACATATGCTCTTCGCCTTGGCCACATCAGCAGCAACACAGAGTCCCTCTCGACCCAATCTATCGACGGGATATCGTGCTTTGCTGGTTCCTCCCCATATTTTCGTACAGTTCGGGGCCGATCAGAGGCTGTGCCCAAAGAAAAAAAAAAGAAAAAAAAGAAAGGACGAAAAAACAAATATGTAACACCAACTACTCGCTGATCGTCACCGACCTGGCCTTCACTGGAAATATCTATATGGAGTGGAAGCGGCGTTTTCTTGATGGCTTCGCCAACCTAAAACGGTAGAGAGAGGTACATGTCCTTGGATGACAAGAGCGGAAGATAGTTCAGGTGATCGATTCCCATTTCTTAGTTATGTGGTCGGAGAAAGTTGTGTCTAACGACAGACGTCCAAGGTAGCTGGCAGTGTACATACGTCTAGGAAATGTGAGGGTGTCAGCTACGTGGGAAGAGGTGGCTTGGTATTCATCTTTTTCTATTTCCTCACTTACAAGGTGATATGAGGATTTGTGTAAATCCCATCGGTTTGGGATTGCTCTCTATTGTACTTTCTCTAGGTGCTGGTTTGGCTTTTCTGGAGCTTTGGGGCAGCTTGGCAACTCGCGTGAATTTAGATTCGCCAGAGGGGGAAATGGAAAGGCTCTGTTCATGCAAGCTATGTAGGGAGTTCATGGAGAAAAAGTTGATAGGCTCCCCTGTATTGCGTTCCGGCAGAGTAGAGCCAAAAAAGGAAAGAAGGAAGGAAGAGAAAAAAACACACTTTTCACGTTCTTTCTTTTTCTGCCCTAATTCAAAGGCAACACAACTTCTCAACTCACCTGCAACCTTCACATCCTGCTTGAAGCTCCATCCCACACTCCAACTCCAAGCCTCAGCTCCAAGGTGTGCTCTGTGTTTGATTTCATCCACCGGATGAGGTGCCGAGCTTGAATTGCGGCGTCTCTGCCCAAGTTGCAACATGCCTGGGTTGCAGGTGAATTTGGTTGGCCTC